TGACAATCAATTGTCCTCCCCAGATACGATGCCTAAGAACCGCATCAACAAGCAGCAGAGTGTCTTAACCCTAAGGGTGAAGCAGGGACATGAACAGCAGTAACCAATAGCTCTCTAATTGGACTTAAGACCAATTCAACATAGATATATCATTCCTGGTACTGGAAATTCAGCTAACTACTCAATACTAGTGTTTATTGAAAGGTAATCTACAACCACTAATTTACTAAACCAGCATAATACTTAACTATTTATAAATATTTGCCCTCATCCCCACAGAGAAGTATAGTCTTCACTTCTCATCAAGGAAACCTCTCTGCAACAGATGGAGACCACAACAGAAAACCACAACCAAAATGCGGCATTATGGAGCCTAGTCCTAGTAAAGATAGTTACAAAACACTTCCACACCCAAGATTCCGGGAATATTGTGGGAAAGGAGGTGGAAAGATTGTAAGATTGTAAGGGTCAAAGAATTTGCTGTGAGACTGTGTCTCCTAGTAACATCAGAAGGTATACTGACAAGGTCTCACCAACATAACCACCCAAACACGAGCTGAACAAGGAAGATACTAATGAGCATGCCCAGTTGGGTGGGGAAAAGCCCAAGACACCTAAACTTTTCACAAGAACTTTAGGCAACTGTGAAGCGGGGAACGAGAGAGGTGATCCTCCCTATGAACCAATTGGTTGTCCAGTGCCAAACATTATCCCTAAAAACATACATCAAAGTAACATTGTATGGACTCAGTAGGTTATATTTAGGAATATATATGTATATACAAATATACATATGTATGCAATAACAATGAATGATTGATGAAAAAAACAGACCATGAATTTGAAGAGGAGAACAGAGAGGTGTGTGGAAATTTTTTGAAGAAGCAGAGGGAAGGGATATATGTTGTGATTAAATTATAACCTCAAAAATAAAAAAAATTTAAGAATATTGACAGGTGAAAATGAAGCCAAAACAGTCAATAGAAACAAAACTGCAGATGCAAACAGATACTGTCACCAACTAATGAGAGGAGAAGGAATCTGTCAAAGCAAAGTAAGAGTGCTTACTTGGGAGAACATGGGCTAGTGGGAGGTAATGTGTCCAGCAGTTAAAAGCATGGGTGACAGAGCTTGCATCCTGGCTCTGCTGCATTCCAGATGTCAACTGCTTCATGTCTCTGCCACAGTGTCCAACATTTGTGAATTCAGATGAATGCTTACTTACTAGAGTTGTTTTGGAGGGTGAGATTAAGTCCCACAAAGCAATTAACACAATGTCCAGCTCATAGAACATACTAGCTATTCTTTGTCAAAGAGAGTTACTTCTCTTATTACTCACAATGTCCTTGTAAGGTGTGAGCATTAACTCATGGAACAGATGAGGACATGTAAGTGTCAGGGAACTAACTTCTTCAAGGCTACAAACGCTAATAAGACACATATTTACTGTGATACAGTTCAGGTCCTTCTTGCAAGCACTCACATTTTTTTTTTTACCACCGAATATTAAGGTAAGATAGTAGATGAACTGGGAGTAGGGGCTAATTTTCCTGCTTGAGTTAGTTTGGCCCCATCCTAGTTTAATTTCTAATGCTGTGATAAATAACATGACTAAAAGCAACTTGGGATAGGAAGGGTTATTTCATCTTCCAGCTTACAGTCTAGCACTGAGGGAATTCAGAGCAGAAACTCAAAACAGGAACCTGAGGCAGAAAAGGATGCAGAAGCCATGGAGGGGTACAGCTTATTGGCTTGCTATACATGACTTGCTCAGCCTGCTTTCTTATAGAACTGAAGACAACCTGCCCAGGGCTGGCATCACCCACAACGGACTGGGTCCTCCCACATAAAGCATTAATCAAGGAAATTCCCTAAAGTCTTACCTACAGGCAATCTGATAGAGGCATGGTGTTTCAGATAAGGCTCTCTCTTCTCCAATAGCCCTAACTTGTATCAGGTTGACAAAAACAAAAACAAATCTCCCAACCCAGAACAGCCCCCAAATAAAAACACCACAGTAAATCTGATGAAGACAGCAGAAAAGTATATAACTTAGGAGATGTGGTACAATCATGACATCAGTGATATGTGTGAAGAGTTTATTAAAATTAACATTTGGGAACTGAAGAGATTGCTCGATGGTTAAGAGCACTGGCTGCTCTTCCAGAGGACCCGGGTTCAATTCGCAGCACCCACATGGCAGCTCCCATGTAACTCAAGCTCCAGTGGATCCAATGCCCTCGTCTGACTGTGGACACTGCACAAATACCGTGCACACACACACATGTAGGCTGATACACCCATACACATAAAATAATAAAACCTACCATTTCGTGCAATGGCACGCAGACAAGACTATTTCCAATTGGCCTCTGCTTGTATGTTTCCAATGGCAAGTGACTCAGGTGTATGAAGAACTGATGCTAATTATGGTAGCAAACCTAGGCGGTGGCTGCATCTATATCAGATGCTGCACACACACAGGCACACACACACACACACACACACACACACAGAGGCACGCACACACACACGAACTCTTTTTTTTGCATGTTCACATTTGAAGATATATATTTACACATTATTAGAATTACCATACACTTAAGAGACAGAGATAGTAGGATATCTGTGAATTTGAACACACAGAACAGCCAAGGCTACATAGTGAGACCTTGTTTCACTTGTCTGGGGGAAAAAAATACAAATCTTCATAGTAGCTGATTCTTTTCTTTTTTTATTTTTCTTTTCTTTCTTTTTTAATTTTTTTATTAATTTATAAAAATTTCCACTTCCGTCCCTCCTCCCAATACCCCCCCCCATTCCCCCTACTCCCTCTCCTCCTTCCTCTCCAGTCCTAAGAGCAGTCAGGGTTTCCTGCCCTGTGGGAAATTCAAGTTCCTTTCCCCTCCCTCCAGGACTAGGAAGGTGAGCATCCAAACAGACTAGGATTCCAAAAAGTCAGTACATGCAGACGAAACAAGTCCCAGTGCCATTATCAATGGCTTCTCAGACAGTCCCCATGTCAGCCACATTCAGAGAATCCGGTTTGATCACATGCTCGTTCAGTCCCAGTCCAGCAGGCCTTGGTGAGCTCTCATTAGATCAGTCCCCTTGTATCAGTGGGTGAACGCACCCCTTGCGGTCCTGACTTCCTTGTTCATGTTCTCCCTCCTTCTGCTCCTCATTTGGACCTTGGGGGCTCAGTCCAGTGCTCCAATGTGGGTCTCTGTCTCTATCTCCATCCATCGCCAGATGAGGGTTCTATGGTGATATGCAAAATATTCATCAGTATGGTTATGGGCCAAGGCCAGTTCAAGCACCCTCCCCTCTGCTGTCCAGGGAACAATCTGGGGACCTCTCCTTGGACCTGGGAACCCCTCTAGAATCAAGTCTCTTGCAAACCCTAAAATGGCTCCCTTAGTTGAGATAAATACTTCCCTGCTCCGATATCCATCCCTTCCTCCCCCCCATCCCATTCCCCTCTTTCTATTGCTTGCTCTCCTCACCAAAGTCCCAGTGCCCTTTCAGATCAGAAGCTTCCACAATCAAAACACACCTCCTAGAAGCCAGCAATTAAGTTAATTATAAAGTTTCAAGGTGCTAGGTGGCCAGTTACAAACCACTGTTCAGATTTAGCAGGCTCTCCAATGCTTAGGGGCTGAACCCACACAGGGAGACTGGCAGGAAGATCTGTCTTCTCCGTTCTCAAAATGGTTCTAGGTCTCCCAAGTTGTTTGGCCCCTCAGCTTCACCAACTGTGGGCACATTTTAACTGCCCTGGGGTTTCTGCTCATAACCCACGCCCTTTTTGTGTTCTTCTCTTCTGCTCTGTCTGCTCCGGTCCCCGTGGAGGGTCCTCCTACTCCATGGCTGCCCTCCCTGCTATCCTCTACTCGACTTTAACCCCCTAGATGCTGAGGACCGACTAAGCTCCCCAGTAACCTCCTGCACATCGCTCCCCAACCCTTGCTTTACGTGCATCTAGGTTCTCACTGGTCTTTCTCTTTGCCCCAAATCTTCCATCTTGTTCAGTTCAATCCATTCAGCCATCTCTTGGCGCCTTTTCTCACGTGCTTCGGAGCTGGGAATGCAGTGAGGAATAAACATGTCAGCATTTATATCCGAGTGGGGAAGAAAACCAGCAATGGGAACACGGTAATCATATGCAAAGATGAACCCGGGCTAAATTAGACACAACTCACCCTGGTGCCTCACAACTTTAAAGAGGAATTTAGGCGCTTCCGCTATGTAAGCATTGATTATCAGAGAAGAGGAATAAAATCCAGGTAGAGATGGTGGTTGCTACGCACGGGAAAAGAGGATGCCGTTCAGTACCCAGCGCACCTCAAATGTGATTCAGGTGAGAGAAACAAAATAGAAGAAGTCAGTCGACCTTTAAAATGCTAAAGAAGGAGGCAAAATGATCTGCGGAGGTAGCAAGGTCCTATTAAAGCACTTTAAATCAGGACACACAAGCTCACGTATTAGTTTCAGTCTACGTTGCTGGTCCTAGGAGAGGATATTCTGTTGTCTAGGAAAGACAAGGCTGTTAACTTGAGTGAATTTCAGTGAATGCGTGCAAGCTCTAAAGAGGAGGGCTGGGGTTGCTTTCAGCTATCCAGCCTGGAAAAGAGGTGAATAAATTGGGGTGGAAGCTTAGCTGGGAAGCAGGAATGGTTTGGATTGTAGTTTGGAAGGCAGCTTTGGGTACCAGTCATGTAGTTGACTGTCCCTGACAGTCAAAGAGAAAGGCTCACGGTGAGCAGGCGTTCCCGAGAGGCTTCTGCAATTTACAGTTCAAGTCCTGGGACACAGGGAAGGCCCTCTAACCAGCGGTGTCCGGGTTCACTGAGAAGCGGGGATTGTCGTCTTGAATGCTGACTTCATTGGCCTTCCCCACTGACACTGTTCATCGATTGGCTAAGAGGACTTACAATTCCGTAGCTAAAGCCCACAACTTGAATGCCGCACCTCCTTCAGAGGCCTGTTGCTTAGCAACTGGTTTCCTTAGTCGAGCTGAGCTGACACAGCTTTCTTTCACCTGCGAGGTAAAAGAGAACTTGCCAGCGCTGCTTCAGGCTTGCCCTTTTCATTCCGTCTTCACGTGCCAAGACGCGGTCTTCTCTCAAGTGGTCCCCCAAGTTTGTCTTGGGGGTGGCGGCAGGCAGTGAGACACCTCAGATCAGAAGGACTCCGGTCCTCCTTCTAGAAGTCCCCACTTGGAGGGGTCAGAGGAGGGAAGGAAAGTCATCGTTAAATCGTAATCTTAGTAGTCATTTAACTGGGGAGCTAGTAACCGTTAACCAGGGGTCAGAGGATGACCTGAGACCCCTGTCAAGAGATCTGCCCAGAGCAAACCGGATAGTTCAGGGACAGGTGGCAGTCCCTCCGCGGCCTCATCATGTACTCCAGAGCTTACATCTTGCTGGAAAGAGAGTTCAAGGAGTTACAGCACAAGAGAAATGAGGTAAGTACAGGGCGTGGCGGGTTCTGCTTCATCCCGTGAGACTGTTTAAGGTTAGTTCGTGCTTACTCTATAAATCATGATTTAACTACACCGACTTTCCCACTCCAGTATTCCAGAAGTATAACTACTGTTTCAAAGTCATGATGGGTAACGGTTTTAAGTACATTGTGAGGGGCGATTTCTCTAAGCCGAAACCCTGGGCATCAGAGTGTGTCAAGGAGTGACTGACAGATTCAGTTCATACTCATTAATATTGTAAACTAAGTAGCGCTTTGTTTTCCTACGGGCAAGCTAGCACTCAGAAAGATTCAGTGTAGATTTGTACCCCAGGATCCACTCCATCACTTTCTGAGCATTTGTTTTGAGATTTGTGTTCCACTGCATACTCCCTAGGACTTTTTTCTTTTACCAAAACAAGGCATAGGTGTCTTAATATTAATGCAGCAGGAAAAAAAAATACCCTTTGCCCCAGTGCCCCCGGTGAAGTTACTGGCGTTCATTTGTGCCATGGGCTTATTTATGGAAAATGAAAAATGAATGAGAGGGAAAAATGGGAAAAGCCTTTTTAAAACAGAAACAACGCCATCCTTAGAGGAGTGCGTGCAGCGGAACCAACAATAGCTCTGTTGGTGATGGTTCAGAACACATGTCCCATTTCATGCCGACTATAAACACAATTTTTAAAAAACCCTCTGGAGATGCTTCGGATCAACTATATCAACATTACAGATGCATGGACCTCGTGTCGAATAACATTTCTGTTCAGTCCAAACATTGTTGTTCTCTGGCATAAAAGAATCAAGTGATGGGTTCTATCCGTGCAGATAATACAGAAAGACGGATGCAGTGTTTGCTTTGATAGTCACCTCATGCACTTATTCACTACGCTGGCTCAGGAAGAATTTGCTGAACTTATTCAAGTGTACTCAGCATAGCTGTCATGGTTTTCTGTGAAGCACATTCTTGAATCTCCATAGAAACAATACTTAAATGTAGGAAAAGTTTGTTTTTATATACAAGAGTAACCTGGGAATTTTTATTTTATTTTCTTAAATCAGTTTTATAAAATTTAATATATAAATGAAAATTAAAAAACCACACACCAAAAATTAACCAAACCGGAAGTACATACATTCCAGTGGACTTCCACACAATTAAAGTGGCCATTCAGAAAAGAAGCTATGGAGCTTTACATTGGTTTTTACACTTTCACTATTGAACACACTTTTAGGCATTTATCCATTACCAAAAGCAAACCAAAAACAAACAAAACAAAACAAAATCCATAGGCAGAGTTAGAACTAGAAAAACAATTAGCTTTTGTTGCATGTTGTTTTGCTCTTTTTGCTTTTTTGGGAGACCACCACCCAGCTCCCAAATAAATCACACCGAGTTTTATTATTACTTATAAATGCCCGGCCTTAGCTTGACTTGTCTCTTGCCAGCTTTTCTTACCTTAAGTTAACCTGTCTACCCTTTTCCTCTGGGCTCTTGTCTTTCTTCCTTCTGTGTATCTTACTCTCCTTCTTACTCCATGGCTGGCTGGGTGATGACCCCTGACGTCCTCCTCCCTCGTTCTCCCGCGCCTCCTCTCCTCTTTCTCCTTCTCTTTATCCTCTCTGCCTGCCAGTCCTGCCTGTTCTTGCTCCTGCCTCACTATTGACCATTCAGCTCTTTCTGAGGACCATCAGGTGTTTTAGATAGGCACAGAGTCACAGCTCCGTGGAATTAAACAAGTGTGGCATAAACAAAAGTCACACACCTTAAGATAGTACTTCCCAGCAAGCTTTAGATTCTCTTTCAATAACATGACAAAAACTCCAACTCATAAATACAGTGGACTTGAGTTTAGACTTTTTAGTGAAAATAACCCTACATCCTACCTTCCATATGGGATCCATCATCTTCAGGAACTTTCAGGAAACACATGCTTTCCAATCCCCTACCATTTCCTCCTTTTCCCATTGGGATCTTCAATGGCCACGCCCTCCACGTATGCAGTCCTTATTTCCCGGTCCCACTGGTGATTTCTACTCTCAGCACTTGGTTTCTAATTTACTGTTATTTTAAGTGTTTCCCGGCATCTACCTTAAGACAAGCAATGCCTCCTCCCCACATCAACAAATAAACTCTCAGAAAAAAGTCAAAATGTTGAAATTTATTGAACCCCAGAATCTGATTTTCAAAGCTACAAAGACTGTTTTAGTCTGTTTGTTTGTTTGTTTGTTTTTAATGACAGGGCATCACTGCTTTTCCTACAAGCGAAGACCTGATGAGCTGGGAAGCTCAGATTGAAGGGCTTCAGAACTCCATCTGGGAAGGTTCGCGTTTCCAAATTCAATCCGTCTCCAAAGGTGGTGGGTGAGTCGGGAGGACTAAGGGCAGCTCCACGGCCTCACTCTTAGTCTCTCATGTTACTTTATTGTTTCTCTTTTTAAAAATTTTATTTACTTGTTATTTTTATTTCATAGAATTTGTGTTTTGTCTGCATGTATGTCTGTGTGAATGTGTTGGATCCCCTGAAACTGAAGTTAAAGGCTTTTATGAGCTGCCATGAGAGTGTCAGGAATTGAACCTGGGTCCTCTGGAAGCCCAGTTGGTGCTCTTAACCACTGAGCCATCTGTCCAGTCCCATGTTACTGTATTTTTAAGAAGCAAACACAATAAAGTACATTTATCAAGAATATTTGCCAATAGTCTCCATGAGATCAGAGAATACCTATCAAAATTCCTCTTGACTTCAGCATTCCGCAATTATTTCTTGGTTTTCCCTTTATAATTTTCCCGTAAATTTCCAGAAGTCAAATCCTCAATGAAACTGGCCCACTATAAACTTTAATAACTATGAGTTATTTCAGTTATTTATTTAAAGGAGATTCTTTGGACAAAGGTAAAATATACTATATACTATACACTGCATATATATATATATATATATATATTATATAATATAATATTATATTATATAATATATTATTATATAATATAGGATATTATATAATATCCTATTATATTAATATAGGATATTATAAATATCCTATCCGCTGCTAGGATCTTGGAGAGAATGCCAAAGAGGGGAGGGAGATTAGCAATTTCACTCACAGGAGTCAGAAAGGCTTTCTAAGGAAGCAACATTTGAGTTGACACGTGAGTACAAGCCAAGCTCTACAGGAGAAGAAGGACATTCATGTTGCAGGCAGGAAAGGTTGCTGCACTTTCTCGGAAGGAGATCAGCCAGTGAGAGGAGGCAGTGTGTCAGGGATGGAGGGAGTGAGTGTTCAATCAGGCTAGAGCTAACCATAACACTTGAATGGCATCGTTACTTCTGTATTACAGGATTTGTGTTCTACTTATCAATAGATTTTACACCAGAGTACAACCTTGTTCCTCCAGTTGTGAAATTTCTAACAATTCCTTTTCATCCAAATGGTAAGAACTAAGTGAGACTCTTATTATTGTATTGTTGTGACTTTGTCTATGCAATTCTTGGGGGGGGTAGTGTTTAATAGCCATGGTCCCCTTTAGCAACTTACAGTTAAAGTAAGAATACTCATTGGAGAAACTTTAAAAGGCAGAAAAATTGGCAATGTCTTTGAATCCAAAGAGTTAGTAAAGCAACATTTTTGATATTTTACCATAGCTCCTCATTTTCCTGTGTACAGTTTTCTGCATCGTTGAGTTGTTACATATAGTTTTGAATTTGACTTTAGTTTAAATAGTGTGTCATTTTCCTGCATTTTAAAACTTCTTGTTTTTAATTATGTGTGTGTGTGAAGGGGTGGTGGTTGAGCGCATAAGTGTGGTGTCAGTGGAGGAGAGAAGAGGGTTTCGGATCCCCTGGAGATGGTAGATATGGGCCATCCAGCGTGAGTGCTAAGAACCAAACTCAGCAAGTCTCTTGAGCCAGCTCCTCAGCCCCTTTCCTGCAATTTCATACACTCTTTCATGCATCATTTATTATTATAGTTGAATCTAATTTTTCATTTTATAAAAATAATACACCAGACAACTTAATCTTTGGGAAAAGAAATATGTTAGATTGTTCTGTTGGGTTCTCCATAAAGGGATTGCCTGAAGCTTTGCATTTTCTTTAGTTGGGTTCTAAGATAAAAGACAGCGTAGTGTAACTGTGGACTTGTACAGGGATCTTTCCCTGAAACTACTGAAAACCATGACATCTAAACATGTAAACATTTACAAACCTCTATAGCTATGCACATTATAAACAAGCTAAAAAAAAGTAACAAAACTGCATTCTGAAAACTCAGGGACCATTCATGGTACAGGGCAGAATATCTATACCGCATAAAGAACCCTTGTGAACTAGCAGAAAGCAGTGTAAAACCCATGAACAAACACTGGATAAACAGAGCAAGGCAAAACAATCTCATTGTGAAGAAAATAGATACAAATTAAAACACAACATAGCATGATTCATCACTTCTGCTTACAAAACATTAAAAGGCATTAAAATTTAATTCTAGCAGACATTATTCCCCATCATAAGGGAAGTGACCTGACACTTTCTAATCACATATAAAATATGCATATCCCTACAGGCCAAAATTTCAGGTTTATGGATTATTCTGTTAGATACAGTAGCACAAAAGTATGCTCTCCTGAAGGATGATCATTCACAGTAGATTTAACCATGGCCTTGCAGCAGCCTCTCCCATATATTCCAAATCATCTCTGGATTACTTAACAATGAAAACACTATGTGCACGGCTGCTCTACTATATTGTTTCAAAAATAATGACAAGAAAAATGTCTGCACAAGTTCAGTATGAATGCTAATTTTCTTAATATTTCTGATACTCAGTTGAATCCATGGATTCAAAACCTATGCACACAGGTAACCCACTATAAAGACTATAATGACAATATCCATTGACATAGAAATCTTTTTTTTTTTTTACTACAGGAAGTTTTTAAGTAAAACTCTAAGATTATATCTTTCCTCTATAAAGAAAAGGAAGACTTTGAAAGTTGGATTTTCTTGGTCACTGCAGTGTCCCTAGAATCATCATTGCTTGGCACATAGTAGGTGCTTACATATCTTTTTAATAAGCATATCCCAAGGGCCAGTAAAGCGATCCAGCAGGGAAGGGCACTTGCTGAGAAACCTGACAAGCCCCAGACACCACATGGTGGAAGAAGAGAACCAACTCCCATAGGCTGTCCTCTAGAGATACACTGAAGCTCATGTGCATATGCACACACACATACATACACACACACACAAATAAATGAATGCAAGAAATTTTAATAAATAAATACAACTAGAAATATGTTGCAATTTATTTTAAATGAAAAAGAACACCTTGAAAATAAAATATCAACGTATCCTTTCATGTGATAAGCACATGAGCACTTATGAGCACTTACAGGTATACAAATGGAAGTCTGTAGATCAATGTGACGTAAGAGTGGAATTGTTATTCATATTTTATTTGACATTTTCTTGTATACCCTTTTTCTCCGTAGTCCACTATTATCTTTGTAATTAAAATCTAGTTTTGAAACTGGGCAAATGGCTTTTGCAAGCATAAGGGCCTGACTTCAAATCCTAAGCAGGCATATAGAAACCCAGCCACGACCTCTCACACCTTTAACGCCAGCCCTGCGGAGGGAGGGGCTGTGAGCAAGGGCATCGCTGGGGCTTGCTGACCACACACCTACACCAGTTTCAATGAGAGACCCTCTCTCAAAGAAGTAAGATAAAGACATTAGAGCAGAGTACCTGACCTCCTCCTCTGACTTCTGGGTATTACAGGCATGCACACCCGCACACACATGTACATGTCAATCACACACATACACATCACACATGAGCCTCAAAAAAAATCCTGTATTTGAAATTTATAGTATCAAATTACTGCACCAGGAGCCTATTATCAGCTAAAGCTGGTGGACGCAAGAGAGCCACGCAGTGATTATCATTATATGAAACAGGAAGAAAGAAGAAGAATAGATAAATTAATTATAAATTATGATGCTTTATAAGCTTTGAATACTAAAACTAATATACTGTTTTAATACAGTAGACCCACAAACCGGTCAGCCCAGCATAGACTTTTTGGACAACCAGGACAGCTGGAACACAAATTACTCAATAAGCAGCATCTTACATGCTATACAGGTAAGAATACAGTTACTGTAATGCTCTCTCTCTCTCTCTCTCTCTCTCTCTCTCTCTCTCTCTCTTTCTTTCTTTCTCTGTGAGATTCTCTTTAAGATGGGGGCCTCACTATGTAGCCCCAGGTTGACCTTGAACTCATGATTCTCCTGCCTCCACCCCCTGGGGACTAGAATTACGAGCATGTACCACCATGCCTAACTTAATGCTTTAACACATTTAATTCTCCCACCTAATTATCACACAAGGGTTAACGTGTACACAGCATATTAAATGCTTAAAGGATCTGAGCGAGCTGGCTAGTGACAATCAAAATTTCTTCATTGGGAACTGAGGAGTGGATCTTTAGCTGCAGACTTATTTGAAATTGATAGTTAAAGCCCTTTGCATTTTATAAAAGAAGAAAGGAACCATTGAGATGTGGTGAATTATAGACATACATCCGGGCTTTATTTCAGCTTCTAACAGTGAACACCTCTCTGGAGTGGTTCCTAGTTCCCGGGTCTCACCTGTCTCGGAGAGGTGAGTCACTGGCTGCACCTTAGAATATTCAGCTTTCTTCTGCGTTTCAGACAATGTCAGCTGCTTTCCTCTCTCTCTCTCTCTCTGTCTCTCTCTCTCTCTGTCTCTCTCTCTGTCTCTCTCTCTCTCTCTCTTTCTCTCTCTGTCTCTCTCTTCTCTCCCCCCTAAGTGTTCATATCAAATCTGTTGAATGTTCATATCAAGCCTGTTAAATAATGAAAACAAAAAAGATACTTCCTCCTCAGGTCACTGTCTGGTTTTCAAATGCCACATTCACTGCTGGGCCCATGTCCTTAAATGCATAGATCTCCATCTTATGTCCTTTTTCGTTTTCTTTTTCTCTTTCTTCTTCTTCTTTTTTTTTTATTTCTTAAACTGCCATGGGTGTCGGATCCTGTTATGGCATTCCAACGCTCAAAAGAAATCCCACACTAGCTCAGAATCAAGAAATAGATAATCATTTATTAAGGGGTAAACTCACAAATTAGAATCCTCCGCTTGACCAGTTGAATCACGCGATCCAAAAGAGCAGCAGGCAGGAACGGAGCGAGGGGAATGAGTGAGATGGGGCACACACATGCACGCATGCACGTTTGGCTTCCCCATAAATAGTATAAGAGGCCACGCCCCAGTAGGCGGGTAAATACAAGCTGTAATACTTCCTACAGCAGGATCCCCTGGAACTATAATTACAGACAGTTTTGGGCTGCCATGTGGGTGCTGGGAATTGAACTCGGGTCCTCTGTAACAGTAGTCAGGGCTCTTAACCACTGAGCCATCTCTCCTGTCCCATATCCTCCTTTTTCATCTAATGCTAAAATTAATTATTACAGTAGCATTGCTTTGACTGTTTAGAGAAGCTGAACAATTTCCCCCCAGGAATCTGTTTGTCATCAAGAATATTGGTGATAAATTATTACAGTTTGACCAGCTGGAATACCTGGAGGACAATTTTTAAGATAATTCGGTTTTTTTCCACCAAAATTATAATATAATTTCTATTTTCTATTCTTGAAAATAAAAGTTAAGATTGTGGTGAATCATCTTAGCAGACCGAGTAAAGTGTTGACCTGTAACAAAATTCAGTTCATTCATTCATTCTATAAACACTGAAGATCTGCCAGTCTGAGAGTGTCTTCTGTTCATTCATTCATTCTATAAACTTTTACTGAACATCTGCCAGTGATGTGGGAGTCCCCTCTGTGTGTTGCTTGCATTGGTTAATGAATAAATAAACTATCTTGGCCTGATAGGGCAGAAGTTAGGTAGGAGGAAAAGATAGAACTGAATTCTTGGAGGAAGAAAGCAAAGTTGGAGAGACACCACGGACCTGCCGCCATGAAGAGATGGACATGCTGGAACTTGGCTGGTAGGCCACGACCTCATGGTGGTATACAGATTAATAGAAATGGGTTAAACTAATATGTAAGAGTTAACCAATAAGAAGTTAGAACTAATGGACCAAGCAGTGATTTAATGAATACAGTTTCTTTGTAGTTATTTCAGGGGTAAGCTAGCAGGGCGGCCAGGACAAGCAAGCGGTCTCTCCTTGCAACATGCCAGTGTCTTCTGATAGAGGCATTTGAGATGTGGAGTTGGAGAGATGGTGCAATGTTTAAGAGCACTTGTTGCTCTTGCAGAGGACCCAGGTTCAGTTTCTACCACCCACATGGTGACTCATAGCTGTCTGAAACTCCAGTTCCAAGACATCCAGCACCCTCTTCTGGCCTCTGCAGACCCTTAGGTATACATGTGGTGCACAGACATACACATAATATATAATGTATTTAAGTTCAGATACGTATCTAGGAAAACTCTAACTCCAATGCTATATGTGTTTCCTTCAGATCTTTGCTTCTAAGCTTCTGTTAGCATCAACCATTGACTCCTGCATTCTCCTCAGGGTTAAGTACAAATTCTGCCCCAGAGCAGAGGCCCCGCTTTTTGCACTTAGATGCTCACTCACGCTATGGGATCCTGCTTCTGTTTGTACCCCATGCTTTTCTGCACTCACATTGCTTGATGTAATTCTGATCCAAAAGAACTTACAGAGATGTCAACTCTAACAGTATAGACCCAAGCAAAGCTTGAACCTCGAGTAACGCTTGGCCAGCTCTCCGTCAGATGGCCACCCACCTCCCTCCCTTCTTTCCAGACTGTCCATCAACCACGGGGCTCTTCACATCCCAGTTAGGTCACGCACCTCTTCCTCTCATATGTCTTTTCTGATTCCTTTTCCTAGGGCAGAATTTATGGCATTTGTCTGGAGGGCACTGGCTTTGCCAGGTACCTAACAGTATTTAGATTTCTGTCCGACACTATAGCACATACTATTTCCCAAACTGTTTTCTATTGGACCAGTCTGTAGCCTGATTGAAATGTGCCAAGGAGCTGAATTCTCACTTACTCTTTAATAATTTCATTTAAACCACTACCTTTTACCAATGTCTACTAGTAACAGACAATACAAACACAAATCATAATTATTGCTTACTTTCTTTTGAATTAAAAAACCATATTTCTAATTACCATGTTGTTTCTTTTCATAGAGATGGTACTTTAAATATTGTTTAAAATATTTTAAAAATAGTAGTCACCCCACCAAAATAAATGCAATCTTAAACAACTAAAAAATTTCACATAAAATAAAGACAAATATCAACACTCATCCATGAAACAAATTTCAAAACCATCAGCTGCAATCAAATGGATATTATAAAACCTATCACTCTACTGATACAGGCACTTGTTGAAGATCTAGAATTCTCCATCTTTTGTTTTTGAAATTCTGTCACCATGAGTCTAATTTAAAGACTGAGCCTTTGTTCTCTTTGGCTCCTTCAGCAGTGTGTCTGACTTACACACATGCTAATCTACTAATAACATATAGTAATAGTATATACAAATATGCCAATTTTTAAAAGTCATTAAATACTCGCAATAGCCGTGTGTGTGCCATGTGAATAAGTCTCTCACACACAGCAGTTAAGGAGAAAATATGCAATAAAATTTGCCAGATGTGCCTTGTTGAGTAAGATTCTCTCCAGCCAGAGACCAAAGCTTGCTCGCAACGATGAGTTTCTTCTGCTTCCCACCCACTTTGAAAGGTAGGGTGGGATCCTCTCTAAATCCATTCTTATTTGGGCAATTATTATGATCTTGGAAATGTAGACTGAATGTGTTTCCCAGAGAGAAAACTCCAGTAATAGCAGAGAATTCTTGTTGCTCTTGAAATATCAGATGTCAAAATGATTACTTTCATTGGAGAAAGTCTGCTATAATTTTCGTATTTTTGTTTTGATTTTGCTTATGGTTTTCTGCATGCATTTATCATTCGCTGTGTGCATCCCAGCAGCGTGCACGTGAGGGTCAAAGGACAACTTACTGGAGAAGTCTCTCTCCTTCCATCATGTGGGTCCTAGGGCTCAAACTCCTGCTTCCATCTCCCCAGGTGTGTGCCACCACATAGGACCTTTTCATGATTTTCATTCATTTCTTTATTATTTTACATTTGTTTCTTCATGTGGGGGCGACAGGCTTTGAAACACATGTGGAGGTCAGGACAGCTTATAGGAGTCCACAGAGAAGTGCTCGTTACTCGTGGCTTGCTCAGCTCGATGCAACCCAGAACCACCTGCCTGGAGGTGGCACGGCCTAGAGTAGGCTGGGTCCTCCTACATCAATCATTAATGCAGGAAATGCACCACAGGCTTGTTGACAGGTCAAGCAAATGGAGACAATTCTTCAATTAAGGTTCACGCTTCCCAGATGGCCCCAGTTTGTGTCAAGCTGAAAAACAAAACAAACCAGCACAAATAGTAACGCATGCGGTAATTCTGCTAACCATATTTTATTAGCCTGCATATTATAACATGCAATGTTCAAAATACTGAATTCATAAACAAATATTTTTAGTTGAGGGTAAAACAATTTTTTGAAGCGACTAATAAACAAATCATGGTTTGGTAACCACTGGTCATCTGTTTGGCCCAAGTATATGGATTCTGTGGTGTGCAGAATTTCAAAAAGATTCCCTCAAGACACTAACCTACATACTACTGTGAATAAGATACATACAGAATTTGGTTTATCAGTCAACTCACTTTAAAACAAGAAGGTTAGTCTATACGCAAGGTGTTCATGGTCTCTTAACATCAGAAGGCAGAAGAGGGAGGACAGCTGAAGAGGGTGTGACCAAAGGAGAGGTCATATTCCAAGCTCTGGGAGGTTCTCTTACACCATGGCTGGGTCTGAGACGCTAAATGTCAAAGGCAAGGACGAAAGAGATGTCTGTAGGAGCAGAAAGTGTCCCCCAGCTAACAGTCTGAACAATAATGACACCCTCAATCCTACAGCTGAAAGGAACTGAACTCAGCCAACCTCATGCTTGTAAGAACATGGAAAGTGCTTCATCCAGATTCTTCTGACAAGAGCCCAGCCTGCTGACATTTGGCTTCTGGCGTTGCTAAAGCTAGAAAAAAGTCCTCCATTCTGGGTGTTTCACCTAAAACTGCAGATTATAAGACTGATCCTTTTAAGATGCTAATTTGTGGTAGTCAAAACAATCACAGAAAGCTACAATAGGTACTAAAGTAATCATTTAAAGACCAAAAGGGATAGCGACATGTGTGCAATCTTTGTACCTGCGTGTACAAAGACATGATCTAATGTAGTCTCCTATTAGTATGTAATGGGAGCTTGCTTTTATTGTTTTCCAATGTTTATCTTACTTTATGTAAAAATCTAATTTAAATTTATATGATAGAATAGATGTTATAGAGGATAAAAGCTTTTGCTTTGACCCCAGTGTTTGATGAATACACACAATAAAACCAAGATAAAGTGAGTTTTCTGGGCATGTTCTGTATCTTCTGTCATCTCTACAAACCTGTCTCCTAGTATGTCTAGACACCAGCAGTCCCCAGGGAAGCAAGATACGAGGTAACAAGCTACAGGTCTCATGGTAAAAATCTAGAATAATAGAAATAGATTAATTTAAGCTATAAGAGCTAGTTAATAATAAACCTGAGGTAATAGGCCAAACAGTTTGTAATTAATATAAAGCCTCTGCATGGTTATTCAGGAACTGGCGGGCAGGAAAGAAACATCCAGTAACAGTCACTAAATGCTTGTTGGGTTTACATGCATTGACTTGTCTTGTTATTCCAAGAAAAGTTTATTTTGAACTTGTTGTTGTATGTGCTTTCTTTCAGACGTTACTTTCTGATCCTGTCCTAGAAAACCCAGTGAATTTGGAAGCAGCCAAGCTGTTGGCTAAAGATGAGTCTATATACAAAGAAGTAGTTCAGAAACTTTTCCAGCCAGCACCACCAGGTAAGAACTACTTGCCTGGTTTTCCTTGCAATTAGCACCTATACATGAACTATTTAAAGCAAATAAGTGATTGAAAAAATCACTGACATGTAAGGGATATTCTAATATTTTCTGTATCCATTTTCAGTAAGGAAATGGCATTGTATTTTCTCTCTTATAGCTATTTGTCTGACCAACTGGTATTAACTTTTTACATTTTTAAACTTTTTGTTTTTTTATTAGCATGCGGTTTGAATGGGTGGGTAGACACAGTGCATATGTGGAGATGAGAGGAATACTTGAAGGAGTTAGTTCTCTCCTCCCACCACAGATCCCTATTATTAAACTAATGTCATCAGGCCTGTGTATCAAGGGATTTTGTTTTTTTTTTACTTGCTGAGCCATCTTGCCAGCACAGTATACTCCTTTTTAAAATATCATTAAAGATTTCAATCTCAGTGTATTTCCATGTTATGGCCATGTAAACAATAGAGATGGGCGCTATCAATTAAATATCCACCCATTATCATATGGCATCTGACTTTTATTCTCACATCTGTAGCGAATGTTTCCCAGCCCCCAGATGTTGCTGACCTTTGCCTCCTTGCCTCTTGTTTAAGAAAATATTCAACATTTTCTTCCTGGGCATTTTCTTCCCAGATATTTTTTGCAATGGTCCTGTGGGAACGACACTGGAAACACTCCAGTCTCCTGCTTAGTTATTGATATCCTTGGGTTCCTGCCAGCATCCTCCACTCTGTGCTGGCTCCTTTCACCTCCATTGTTCCCGTGTTGTCTCTCCAGTCAGGGGAGCCCAGAGGGTTTTCCCACAGGCAAGCAATGAGACGGAGTTCCTTCTTACCTGCCCTGGCCCTCCTAGAAGCGTTCAGCAACCTTGCACACTAGTATGATTGCTTCTCCAGCCTGCAGACTTCCATCACTTTGCAAACTTTTCTCTCCTGTTTTTATCGCCCCCACCCCCGCTTTCCTTCTAAGACTTCACACTTCGCAGTCTATTCAGAAAGGCTTGTAAAAGCTTGTACCATGGTGACCAAGTTCAATTCTTCCCCCTCCACAGGCTTTTGGATCTGATACAAATTAAGCAGTATTAATCAGAAGTCCTCTCCAATACCCCCAGACACGTGCTTATATTTTTCAGAGTTCTTCCAGCTTCTGCTGCCCCTTTTGAAGTTGATGGATGCATAGAGGAATAGCATTGCTTCACACTGGCATCTCTTCTGGACCTAGCAGTATTCCGTACCATCCACAGAAACATTCTCTAGAATAGTAATGACTCTCAGGAAATATCTGGAAGATGAAGAAAGAGTGTATATATCATTTAACCTTTCACGTAAACCTAATATACCCTCATTACAAAAAAATATTCTGTGTGGCGAAGTTGTGCCCATATGCTGGTGAATAGCAATTTTTTAAAACTAGGTTTAAAAGTTTTTTTCTACAATAAATTACTTTATGCCATGGATTCTGATTTTGCCCTGCTGTGGGACAAACTTGAAATCAAAGCTAAATATGGTGGTGCACACCTGCCATTCCAGGACTCGGGAAGCAGAGATAATGGGTTCAAGGCTAGACTTAGCTAAGCAGCAAGACCTTGACTCAAATAAAAGCAAGCACTGTTTACTTTCCCTGCTTCTGTGACTTAAAAATTTTTTTTTTTTTACAAATGCAACTTAAGGAAGAAAAGTCTTATTTTGGTTAATAGAAAGTAGTCATAGTCCATTGTAGTGGGGAAATCACAAGGAGAGAAGCATAAAGCAGTTGGTCACATTGTACATATAGTCAAGAGCAGAGAGCAATGCATGCTGGTACTCAGCCAGCTTTCTCCTACTGATGCAGTCTAGAACCCAACCCCAGGAAATGGTGCCACCCACAGTGGATGGTTTCACCTATCTCAATCAATCTTGCCAAGAGACTCGCACACAGGTATGCCCAGATGTCCACCTCCTAGGTGATCTCACAAAGACAATAGAAATTAACCATTGCAGCTCTAGCCCTTGTCAGCCAATTGCATCACTTTCAGCCAATACCTTCCACCTCCTGTCCCTAAACTGTCATGTTCATCCCATAATGCAAAACAGAACCCAACTTCAAACGTCCCCACTGTCACTAATAGTCCCACCAATGAAGACATCCAAAGTTCTCGCCTCATTCGAGACTCAAGGCGAATCACTTAGTTGTTAACTACTATAAAACACAAACAAGTTTAATGCTTCCAATATTCAATGGCACAGAATAAACATCCATATTCAAAAAGGAAGAATAGGGGCAAAGCAAGGAATGATCAGATCAAAGGAAGACCCAAATCTGGAAAAACACCAAATCTGTCAGCTCCATGCCTGGCATCTAGAGCTCATGGTTAGATCATCTGGGCTTCAAAAGGTTCATATTTCCATACTTCTCCAGCGCTGTAGCCGATAGCATATGTAAAAATTCTCATACCAGCTCCATTCTATGCCTCTAGCTTGCCTTGATACACATTCCATGGTCGTAACATCCCCAACATCCTGACATCTCCTTTGTAACTTAGGCTCCGCATTTAATGCCCAGTTTAGGGCCTCCTTGCAGGGACCCCAACCCTGTCACACTGTCTTGCCTTTTACACTGCCTGGAAATACAGAGCAGGACTTCATGACTCTCTCATTCTTGTATCTCTCATGCTTGTAAAACTAGTGCCACACGGGTGATACTGGGAAGATCCGACTACCCTGGAAAAACACTTCTCTAATCAAGAGAGCCCCTGCGGTTTAGGTTTTCTCCCTTCAGGTGAATTCGGTTTTTCACAAGGTACAGTCTCTGTTAGGTGAGGTTTTACCCTGAGGACACCTTGCCCACAGTCCCAATGAAAGCCAAGATCCTCTGATTGGCGCTCGTCTCTGAAACAGTTACAGCTGTTTTTCTCAGTGCCAGCCTAAATGCTCTCCTGTCTTGAAGTTTTCCCCGCCGAACAAATTAGTCCATCAGCTGTAAATCCAACTTCACTTAAGTTCTCTAGTTCTCTAAGCACAGACTCTTGGCTAAAATATCACAAGAATGACCTATCCCACTTCCTGATGGAGGTCTTGTTCCCTGACTGGGCCTGCATTGCCCATGTGTCTCTGGTCATTCTTGTCTCTTAGGTTCCCATCAGAAGAGCTCATGTAAGCTCTGCTTACAGCATTTCAGAACTTTCCTGGCCCAAATCTCCAAAGTCTTCCACTTCCTTCCCTCAAGCCAGTTCTAAAGGCCTAAGAACAAGGTGCTCATGTTTCTCACAGCACAGGCCACACTTATCAGTAGCAAACGGACATGTTATTTATTTCTCTATTGCTGTCATAAAACACTCTGACAAAGGCAACTTAAGTAAGGAAGGGTTTGTTTTGGCTCAAAGTGTGAGGCTACTAGGATACCCATGTTGGAGCCCACAAGACTCTACAGTGACTGCACAGTGGACAGACCAATGGGCAGATCCACGGGAAGTGTATACACACACGTCCACATGAAATAACCCATTTTGCAGAGCCACAGGAACACTTGTCTTTTGGAAAAGTCACTGTCATATCTGTAAAAACCTTGTGAGGCCATGATTCTTCCCTCAAAATGGGATTCATTCCCAGAACACCTCAGCAGTGTAACCTCTGTGTGGGCAGTGGAATGGCCTTGCTCCATTCCCCCACACCATGAGGCCTTAGAGTAATAACGTTCACTGTTTGTTCTAACAGTCAAATTTACATAGAGTCAATCCCACAAAATTACCTGCTAACAGACCACAGGAAATTTCTGTAGAATACAGATACTGAGTAAGAAGGCAACATGCCCCCATTTTTGCCAGCAAACAAATCTGAGCATCCCCAAAGCTGTTTATCATCAAAGAGATTAGATGGCAAGAATGGGTGAATCCAGGATTTAAGGATGTTTGGTAACTTTATCTAATGGTTTAGAATGTCAGGTACTTCCCCTTGAATGCTTTCCTGGGTCGGGCCACCTGTTCCAGAGTATAGCTTTGCCGGGTTCTTCCTGCCCCGTTTTGTGATTTTCATATGCATATTATTATCCTTGCCTGTGGAATTTTCCAACTGTGTCTGTAAAAACTAGAAACCTCATGGAGATCATCCCTTACTCTTCTTCTTCTCCTCACTACTTCTACTTCTTCCCCTTCCTCTCATTTCTTCTCCTTATTCTTCCCCTTCCTCTTCTTATTATTTCTCTCTTCCATGCCCCCTTCACTTCATCTTCTCCCCTTGCAAGAAAAATAAAGAAGATGCAGATGTAATGTACTTTGAGTTATTCTTTGACCCTCAGATCCTTGCCTGCCATCGACATCCAGTTCTGAGCCCTGAGGGGGTACTGAGGCTGGTACTCAATGCCCCCAATGTACACAATCAAGGAGCAGAGAGCCATGAATGCCAGTGTTCAGCCAATGTTCTCAGGCTTGTACTATAGGACACAAGTCTGTAGATGGAAGTTTCTGCCCCACTAGGTCCCATAGTCGTTCATTCCCAAAGAAACACACAGAGGCTTATATTAATTATAAACAGTTTGACCTATTAGCTCAGGCTTATTATTAACTAGCTCTTAAAACTTAAATTAACCCATAATTCTTATCAATGTTTAGCCACGTGACTTGGTACCTTTTCTCAGTGCAGCTTTTTCATCTTGCTTCCTCTGTGTCTGGGTGGTGACTGTAGACTGAGCCTTTCCTCCTTCCAGAATTCTCCTAGTCTGGTCACCCCACCTATACTTCCTGCCTGACTACTGGTCAATCAGCATTTCATTAAACCAATACAAGTGACAAATCTTTACAGGGTACAAGAGCATTATCCCACAGCACAAACCCAGGAAATAGTGCTAGCCATAGTGACTGAATCTTCCCACTTTAGTTACTCTAGTCAAAATAAACCCTCACAGCATGTGCAGAGGCCCATCTCCTGGGTGGTTCTAAATCTCATCAAGCTGAAAACTGAAATTGACTATCCCTGAAGTCAGTCTCCTTTTGTTCTCCCTGGTAGACTTCATCCTTACAG